TAGGGCGTGAAAGGTAGAAGATAAAATAATTCCTACAGATACTTTATAATTAAATGGCATAATTTAAGTGCAGCCCCAAAATTGCTGTTTGAGAATTAAGAGACAACAAATTTACACACACACAGCAATGGGAGGAGGGAAAATGAAAAGGCTGTTATAAATGATGCACAAGTTACAAAAACGGTTTAGCAAAACATTCTCCATTGTAACTTTCTGAATCCCTTATTTGGACCCATTTACAATAAAACTTTTCAAAAAAAGAAGAAAAAAACATACCAGAAAATGGCTCAATATGAAGGAAAAAAACCCCAATAATCACAAATGACTAAGAGCTCAGCTGGTAATGAAAAGATGGGAGTCCACCCAAGGGTGACCTGGAAAAATCAGCCACTGAAAACCTGGTGAAGCACGGTTCTAGACACACATGGGATCGCCAGGAGCTGCAATCAACTTGAGGGCATTTGTTTTTAATACTAAGTTAGAATTCTCAACTCTTGATTTGAGTTAGAACTTAGATGCCTGAGATCAATGAGCCCTGGAAATATTTAGCTCAGTATTTTCATCTTTACAGAAAATACACTTTCTGTGGCAAGAACAGAGCTGGTGTATATCCTCCACTTTGATCAGGTCGATGGAATTTCTCACAATAGGCAGCCCACTAATTACAGCTGAAACTTCAGGGAACAGTTTAGCAAAAGAAATACTTCAAAAGCAGGAATATAAAACAATAATGTAATGATTTCTGCAATTCTTCTTATAAAAAAAATAAAATGGAAGGTAACAGATGATGTTCAAAAACGGAAACAAGATGAGACAAACATCACATTTATTTCAATAGCTCAAAGTGCAAATACAGCGAGTCAGTTCATAAAGTTACAAGACACAGATTTAAGTATAATGAAAACTTGAAATACAAAAATGAAAGTTTAATAGCAGAAATAAAGCTCCTCAATTTTTAAAAAATTCAAGTAACTGTGAGAACTTTTAGACTAAAATACTCCACTTACATCAGTTCAGAAAAGCTCTAATTTATAGATGCCAGTAGGGCAGTGAATGGAAAAGAGCTCCGCAGAGAAAGGGAGGATCACCCCAGATGGTCAGCTCCAGACTAGAGTTAAGGCCTCAGTATGGCTATTCCTGATGCAGCAGCTTCAGTCACTCACTGTATCAGTCTCTGTGGTTCAACCCATGCTATTCTGATCCTTAAGCAAATTCAGCAAAGCGTCTAAAGTTCAGTATGAGCTCAACAGCACGACTGAGAGCTTTCTGAAACGGGCACTACATATTTAAAAGAATTAAAGACCAATTTCATCTTCAGACCTATGGCGTTAAACCAGACCCACTGCCACTGAATCGATTATGACTCATAGCGACTCTATAGGACAGAGTAGAACTGCCACACGAGGTTTCCAAGGCTGTAATCTTTATGGAAGCAGACTGCCACATCTTTCTCCCACGGAGCGGCTAATAGGTTCGAACTGCCGACCTTTCAGTTAGCAGCCGAGCACTTAACCACAGTGCCAACCTGACAGATTAATACTTCTTCCAGTACGTTAAAATCTTTTTGTAAGGTTAACAAAATGGCATTTAAGATTTCCTCATGAAAACTCTACTTAATAAATATTTATTTGTACATAAATGGGACTTGTATGTAAAGTAGAAAAAGTACCCACTAGGAAGATAATTAAAGGTTGTTAATATTCTCTTTATCACCATGCAGCCAAGACACCTGCTTATTTCTGCTCCCAGAAGCAATGTTTGCTAGTTTCAGTCCAGGAAAATGTGTATCTTCAAGAGGGTTTACAGGAAAGGTTTACTCAGTCTTTTTCTCCAATTTCTTCATCTTTTCAGTGTAGGCATTAAACTGTGAGTCTGTTCCAAAAATTCTATCCCACCATGTAAAGGTTGAAGCGTAGTTTCCAATGAAGTTCATGTGGTGGAAATCATGATGCCGTGAGCCAGCATAGAAAGGGATGAGATTTAAAGGGTTGAGAGGAATATCATAGCCACTGAAATAAAATGGTAAAGATTAAGGAAATAAATACAACTCCAGTAGGTGACATTTTCATGGATAATCATGTGCTCATTAACTAATTCAAAGAGCATTCTACGTTGCCTGAGTCATTTTATTTGTTATGTTTACAAAACACATATAACAAGTTAAGATTAAATACATCATGATTAATTAGAATATGTGTTTGCTTCTATAGTTGGCAGAACATATATAATTTCATTAAGAGTCACCTTTAGAGTCTTTCCCTTTATTTCTGACTACATAGCGAACATGTGATACCCAGTAATGCCTGCGCAATAGCAGTGCGAATCACCCCAACCCTTCCCTCCTTTTGGTGAGGTGAGGGAGGGAGAAAGATGGAAGGAAAAGGACAGTTTAATAAGTCAGTTACGACTCATCTGTAGGATATTCTCTGCCTAAGATGAGGAGCATTAATCTTGCTACTTCAGTGGTTTAAAATAATTCTCAGAATACATCTTCGTGGGTAGAATAAGCCCCAAGTCAAATGCAATGAGCATTTAGTAATTTTAAAATAATAAAAGGATATTAGACATTTAAAAAGTCATTACATATAGGTATTGTGCCATAAAATATCTTCCAACAGACAGAAAAGAAGCATCTGAAATATGTACAGATTACAGGCAAGTGCTTTTGTCATTAATAAAAAAATGGCAAGGCAGAAGATACGAGAAATATTCTTCTTCAGTGAGGGCTGAATGTTTCCATATTTTTTTCAAATAAGAGATAGCTTTAGATTCATTAAAGGATAAAGAAATTGCTACTCTGGAATTATGGTATTTAACCAAATTTTTAAGAAACAACAAAAATAGTTTTATCTGAACATTAATCTTTAAGGAAAGGCATTTCTAAGTAAGGCATGAAACCCAAAAGCCATAAAGGAAATGACTGATAGATCTGACTACTTGGAAATTAAAAATGTTGGTACCGTGAAGAAACCATCAAGAGTTAAAACTCAAATGACAGGAGAAAATACTTGCAACATATATAAAACAAAGCTCATACAACCAACAGGAAAAAGACATACAACCCAAGAAAAACGGGCAAAGGATATAAATGGGTAATTTAAAGAAGAAAAAGTAATACTGGTCAATAAACATACCAACAGGCGCTTAGCCCCACTAGTCATGGAGGAAACGGGGACGGAAATACTGAAAGCCCTTTCTGTCCTAATATTGACAAACATCTGTAAGCGTATTATCTAGGTTTGGAAGGACGCCGGGGAAAGGGAAAACATTCTCACACGTTCCTGGTGGGAGTGCAAGCAGGGACCCTTTCGGAGGACAGTCTGGCCGTACCTATCACAATTTTATTTGCCCAAATGACACATGAACATATTCTCTGGCTGTAGGGTCACTATGAGTCGGAACCGACTCGACGGCCCCTGACGACAACAACGATGTAAAAATGTTTCAGAGTATAGACAGGACAACAGCCCACTTGTATTATAAAGATATCTCTATTACTTGAACTTCCATCCAATGATTAGTATCCTTTTTTCTTTTTAATAATACATTAACAAATTTACTTCTCCTATTAGTCTACAGATAATCTTATGAGCATGAAAATAAAGATATTTCATGACACCTAATCACCTGCCTGGAAACCATAACTCACCTATGGACATCGATAGTTTCTATCAAACGGACGGTCACCCACGCCCAAAGAAGAATGACATGATCACACAAGAGCACGATCCCTATAAAAAATCCAGTTCCAAGAATCAAGGTTTCCAGAGGATGTGCATATTCAGCCTCCATTCCAAACGGAGCCTGAAACACATAGATAAGCATTCCTTAATATATTCAAACTTACTTATGCATATAACTTCATAAAAGTATGTTGTTTCTACATGTAATAATATATCTAGCCATACATACATAATAATAGTAATTCTTAATAAAAATATCCTTTCCTGTCCACCAGCATCGAAAGGCCTAGGGGTGCCGTTAATAAAATCTTTATAACTGTCTTTAATGGTTTAAATAAGGCATTTAACGATTGACTTGAACTCTAATTCTGATCTTTGCCTTTGAATTTGCTCTCAGAAGAAAGGCATGCTTGCCTTAGTGTTAGTACACCACGTAATCAGGATCAGTGCAGAAAATTCAGACATAGCCAGTTTGTCAAGGCCAAATCAAAGCAGTTCTAATAAAATCTAAAAAACACCACTTTTGTGGGAGTCAGTAATGCAGTGAAAATGTGTTAAACATCAGCTGATAACTGTTTTAGAACTTTAAGATTAAAGGGTGGTTGATTGAGGAACCTTCTGAACGACTCTGGCGTCCCTACAGCTGCCATCAAATTGTCAGGTAGCCAGCTGTGTGTGTCAGGATATTGCTGTGGCCACAAAAATGAGAAGAATGAAGTATTTCATGCAAGTTTTTGTGCTTCAGTTCTCCACTGACCATGAAGTTTAGATGCTAAGGAAAATCTGTAGAACTGGTTGTGTGTGCGTATGTGCTATGTTCTTAGTAATCATGCCAAAGGAAAAGGAAATAACATCACCAACGATTTTAAAAAATGCTCACACGGTAAAAATAATGACATTTGTGTCTAATAAAATATGTATTCAGTACAATTCTAACATACCTGAAACTCATGATGAATTTTATGAATGTATTTATATATCCTTCTGTGGTGTAACAGTCTGTGCAGGAAATAGTGCCAGGTGTCCTCGATCACGGCACAGCCAAAGCATCTTAGCAAAAGCATGTACCTTGAAGGTGAAAGTACTGTAATGAGTATCAAGTAATTTTTGTGCAAACAATTTAAACTCTTACCTGAGATCACGGCTTGAGATATTACATAAAACCAAATACCCACTTAGCAGCTTGAACTGGATAGATCGATCAACTTATTCCCAAAACTCCCACGTACAAATTGGCTATATGATACAAATTGAAGGGCAGAGATTGAACATAACACCAATTCTAACTCCTTCTGACAAAAACTCACAGGTATGAAATCACAGTTAGGAAACAAAACCAAAAACTTACAGGAAAAAATAATATTGATAAACGGTTTGAATTAAGATGAATAATAGTAACATCATCACCTTTTTCCACCAAAGAGAAAGATACAACTTACGTGCTATGGGCAAAAAATTATTTTCTATACAAATGTACCCATTCCCAGAAATTATATCTTGAATATATATTACATAGGAAAAAAAATATATTTATAAATTGGTAGGTCTATACTCAGGTAATATCAGGTACAGAGAGTTGAATACAAATATTATTTGAATACAAATACTTGCACTCAGATAACATATATTTCTGCTTATATCAGCACAATTTTTATAGACTTAAATTATTCTCTCATTTCTTTCATTCATTTTAGACTTTACATTTAATGGTTTTCCTCACTATCTTTTAATACCAGCTCTCTTCTGTTCAATATAAGCGTGTGTATCTGTAGACAATGATATAAAGGATACTATGGAAACTTCTGATCCTAAAAACTGTCCTTCCAATAAAATATTACATTAGAACAAAGAAAGATATAAAAACGGTAATATTTTCAGTTTCTACTATGGTTTACCTGTGTACATTTTATTTACTTCCAAAGTTTAGATCAAATAGATCTTAATCAAATAAAAAAAAGATAAACATGACGTCCACTTTACTTGGAGTCCCTGGGTGGAACAAACAGTTAACAGTGCCAATGCTAACTGAAAGGCTGGTGGTTCAAGTCCACCCAGAGGCACCTCGGCAAAAAGACCTGGCAATCTACGTCTGAAAAGTCAGCCATTGAAAACCCTGAGGAGCACACTTCTACTCTGACGCATATGGGGATGCCACGAGTTGGGTCCACTTGATGGCAACTGGTTACTGGTTTACTGTTATTGCTATTGTAACTGGTTACTGTAATAACTAATTGGTTAGTGTTCATATTGTAATTGGGTAATAAACTATGATTGAGTATAAAAATCAAATTTTAATTTACATACCATCTTGGCATTGTTTCCCAATCATAAGGAATATTGAAATACTCTGTAAAATAATAGGTTCCACAAATCAAAGGCAGCTGGATACAAAAGTGATTAAAGAGAAGCACTTTAAAACATTTCCACTGGCTTTCCAACGATTCTGGCTTGTCCTGCGGAGAGAAATCACAATATTTAACGTTGACCTCTGCTGTCGATAGTTTGGCTTGACAATCAGAAGTGGATTCCTGATTTGCACTTAAGGTTTATATGGGATTATAATTCTGTGTTACTAAGGCCCAGGAATCACAACACCCTTCTCTTCTAAATTCTTGACAACTATTGTGACTACTTTAACAAGGTGAAGACACTTCATAGACAAACCTAAGCATAAAGATTTTCAAAGGCACCAAAGAAGTCCTACAGAATAAACAACTCTCCAATCTTTGCTGCCCACAGGTCATTCGCAGCTCTTACTGTAAGTCTCCGAGAAGAACGCGTGATGGTAAGATGACAGTGGGGCCCCCTCCGCTTTTGAAGGAGTGGTACACACTAACATGGGAAGCTTTTCTTACAGAGGGAAATAGATGCTTCTAGTCCTTTTGTGACATTCATTCCAAGAAGGTACAGGCAAACCCTGGGTTACCAACGAGATCTGTTCTTAAGTCTGTCTTTAAGTTCAATTTGGAGTTAAGTTGGAATATGGTTCTCATTTAGCATAAGTTAGTCAAATGGTTGTCTTAATACCTAGTATATACTTTACCTTTCCGTATGTATGAAAGACTTAGGAAAATACTTCCAAACCAAGCAATATTTTCATGAGTGTCACAGAGTACTGTGTGTTCATTATTACGAACCATTGTACTTAACTCAAATTTCTCATTTAATAGGCTTGAGGGCATGCTGCTCTTAAGCACGAGTTGTTCGTAAGTTGGAAGTTCGTAACCCGAGGACTGCCTGTAAGTGCATTTTTGTTCATAAACGACAACAGGATTATAAACTCTCTGAGCTGAAGGACACAGAGATGTGTCCAGTGGTTCCCAAAGGATGGGGAGCTACTGCCTAGAGATGATGACGTTCACAGACCCACATCAAAATGAGAAAAGTGAGATCAGTGCAGTGAGGTGTTCATACAACGTCACTGGAATGTTGATTTGCTTAGCAAGCCACATAAAACTAAATTTGTTCAATTTAAAGGGCTACAGATATTTTTTCGGTGATAGGAAAAAGTGCTTTTTGCTTCACAAAAAGATAGTATGCTTGGTTTTAAATGTCCTCACTTAAAAATTCAGAAAGCTGCCAAATTAATTTTTTTAACCAAACCCCAGCATCCAAACTGGGAAGCACTGTTCATCAGCAGAGGCCCAAAGAGGTCAACCACCTTGCCCAGGATCACATGGGCTGTTACTACTAGACCGTGGTCTGACTACAATCTATCTAGGTCTCCAGACCCAATTTGATTCTTGAAATGAAGAGTTATTATTCCCGACAAAAATAGGAAAACATTGAACTGGGAATCAACCTAGAGACCCAGCTTCCACTCCCAAGGCCCCCACTAAGCAGCTAACTAGCTCTGTGATGCTTACAACTCAGGTTCCAGGACAATAACATGAGGGTTTAGACAAGATATTTATAATTGTCCTTCTACTTCTATTGTGAGTATTATCTGAGCCTCCCACCTCCACCCCGAAACCTCCAGTCTGTGATTGGAAACAAAATAAACTAAAGATTCAGGCTTGGGCCAACAAAGGCGCTGTTTCCCACAGAGGCTACAGGCTAGAACCTGATACCCGTGGAGCTACAGAAATTACCACCAAAGACAATCTCCTATGGATAGTAAAATCACACACTATACTGTCTGAGGTGGACATAAATTAGTTAAACATAGTGAATAACGAAAAAGTCACACCTAATACACCTCAATATGAGAGTTTACCATACGTTGCTTCCTTATACATAACTGGGTTCTGATATGACGGAATACCCTGATTAGGGCCATCAACTTCAGAAAGAATGAATTTAGTACATACGTCTTTTAAGGAAAAAATTCTGGAGAATTAGGCTGTCTATTTTTTTTTCAGGAAACAGATCCTGCAAGGCCTACCTTATTACTCTCTTGTACTCCTGCACATTTTCCGACAGCTAGCAAGCATGTCCATTAACTGTCATGCATTCTGCTGGAAAGCAGCGAGTTTTTAGGGTTATTTCATCACCACCAGCAACTTCTTCGACCCACTATGTGGTTTCAGGTATTTGTATTCAAAAAAAGCAGTAACTCATAATTAATGTGTACTGATTATTTTGTTTGCTTTTAGATACCTTTACATTGTGAAAACTTGTACTGATTTACCATCACAATTCATTTTAGTATCAAAAAGCTCCAAGGATGGACTTTAAGGTTGTGAAGCTCAAAAGATATGCTGAGTATAGACTTGAATCCATACT